TAGATGTGCCGTCTTATTAATATTAATGTACCGCCAAACTCGCTACGAGTGTCGTCATCGCTTGGGTCCTCCCTAAGAGCGATTCATAGGTTAGGTTACACCGTTGAATATCCTATTATGTTTAGGTAAAGCGCGTGGACTTTGGCATGGCATAGTAGATGTTTTACGCGCTATCGACGCAGAAATGACAGTTATGGCGCCAGTGAGGCCCTTGTTTTGATATAATATTTGGCTAGTGTTTGTTTCTAGCTTCTTTTATTATATTATTGTGGGTGTTTTACGTTTTAGAACATTAACATATTTTGGGCGGCACTGCACGACCGTGCCCTATAGACGAACCGCGCCTGACTGTGACTAATGGCAAACCAATGGCATCGCTTTTATTATACTGTATACCGTGGATTACTCACTTTTAATTTATCAGATATAGCTACTTTCTTTTCCAAGTGATATTTTATTTCTCCTCACCTCCCCCTTTTTAAGTATCTTTTGCTGTACTAGAAGTCACATTACATAATTTGTATCCTGCCGGTGCTAAGAGTCAAATGCCACAATTGTACGCTGTACAGAACCGGTTAAAACGACCTTACATAATGTGTTCAAGTGTTTTAGACGTGGGACATTTGTCGCTGTTGCAGAGCTGAAGTTTTTTAAACAATAAAGTAGGCGTCTTTTACACCTCCACCGACACCAGGCTTACGACCCTGCTTGTCTTCCCAGTAGAAAGACCGAAGTACTCTGTAAAAATGTTCTCTTAACTCTAGAATCGAACTCGGACTCGGGCCTCCTCCGTGCCACAGCGAAGCGCCTGGCCGCTACACCACAGACGCCGCTGAGTTTGCGAGTAAACATTCTAGGAAATGGACAGTACAGTTGTACATGTACCAATAAGGGGTAAACGTTAAGTATTGTTGTTTTTTTTAAAATAAATGTTTTGCGGCGCTCGCAACTGCATAAGGTCAGATTATGGACGTGAGGGACACATTGAACATTTTCAGTTTGGAAGGAATTAATTTTGAATTCTGCCGGATGGCGGTCGAAGCATACTCCGTCGCTGTCAGGTTTCGAACCCGTGGCCTATTGAATGAGAGGCGAACAAGGTACGTCTAGACTACGAGAGCCCCCAAACGTTAAGTATACCCCCCCCCCTTATATCATTGTCAACTTTGATGGTCACAGCCAGATGTTACTTGTTAAGCAAAGCACCAACGCTGGGGTGTCAAAGTTTATTTACAGTCGAACCTTATTATACCATCCCCTGTTATGACGCCAGCCCCTCCTACCGTCAGGTTTTTGCCAATGTACGAAAAGGAACGCCAACATTAAACATAGTATTTTTTATGCCTTTTCATCGCCATCCACGTACTGTCTGAGTTGTACATTCCCTATTAAAGTAATGAAAACTAATGTAAACTTGCCCCACCGTACCCCCAGCGAATTGGCCTCCAAAGGTACAATGAAACAAACGGTGCTCGACACTCACTCGGTGTCAGCTTGATAATCTCTTTCTCACACACGTCTCTGCGAGTTCGGCCTATTAATAGCATATTTTGCCGAATTGTGATGATTATGATAATGCTATTATTTAAAGGTATTGGCTAATATATATTTTTGAAAAAAGATGTAATGAAATTTTAAGTTCCCATGAGAAACTTCAAATTAATTAATATCTGGCGTCGCCAGATCCGTCCGATGACCAAAAGGCTGACAGGTACCCGCGAGGCTTTACTTATCGTGAGGGCTCACAATACATGTACCATGTGAAAGGTCTGACGAGGTCAAAGGACCTACGGAGAATCTGGTGAAAAGAAATTTAGGCATACGTCTTCAGGGTCCTTCACATATACAATAGCCTACCTTCCATGTTCTATTTGAATTTGTGTAAAGTTCAGATTGAGAGGTACATGTCATTGATTGCTACTCGTTTTCAGCTACTCATGGCAATCGCCCGAGGCAGACCTAGATGAGTCAGTACTAGCCACAATTTGTCTCCATTCTCTACCACTTATCAAGATGGAAATTGGCGCTATCCCATTATACCGTCACCGTCATGCTTGTTCCGAGGTAGGCGGAATGATGGAGTTTGTCTGTATTAAGAAGGAACGAAAGAACCAATTGATTTATCAATGAACGATGGCATAAAATTCATGAACAAATAGATCAATGAAACAATGTATTAATTGTACATAATCTAAACTAATGAGAATGAGAAAAAGATTTAAAAAACCCCAAATCAACTCACAAGAAAGGCGAACGTAGCAAGTACACCATAAAAGCCGAATGCCCAGCGATGACGATTCATGATGGCCGTTGTGGCTTATCTTGAAGGTGTATTTGCACTAACGTCTATGATAAATAAATTAATAAACAAAATATGACCAAATAAATAAATAAATGAATTTTTAATAAAAAACACGATTAGAATCTAGTTAGGAGTTTTCACTTAAGTCTGGGCTTGTAAAGACGTCCCGCTTCTTGTGAACACTATGAACATTCACTTTTAATCCTTGAACCTTGTAGCTACCAAGTTTTGTAGTAATGAATGACAGCCAAATAAGAGCATTTCAAATCCAAGAGTTGTCAAGAAAAGCTCTTAAAAAACCCAACTGAAATTCCTTTGAATGGAGACGCACTTCGCTAAGATCCGGGAGTGACACAAGTGGTCTCTTCTATCTAGGTCGCTGATGATTCAGGCCCCGCCAGGACCCAACTCAGCCGGACTTTTGATTCTGCCTATCAGAGTCCATCCAATGCAGTTGCCTTTCACTGGCGTCTGGGTGCAAGGTTTATCCCTGTTTCACGCAGAAGATTTTAGTTCGACTCTTACGAGCAGCGTTATACGGGGGAAAAAGGGGTGGGGGTGCAAGTGTAGGTATTCGGTACCTATCACATCATTGCTATAATACTTAATTTTTATTTAATACATTTCTTAACACATTAGATTAATCACGATATATAATATGATTAATGACACTGAAAGTATGCCGAAAAAAGGCCAACTAAATTAATACGTTAAGTTTTCATGAATGAAGAATTATAGGTATAACAATGATGTGATACTGTATAATTATTATCTACAATTACACTTCCCGGTATTTCCCCACCAACCCTGTTTTTCTGCCGGATGCTGTGTCTCATTCATCCTGTGTTGTCACTGACCACAGTCTGCCTCCTGTACGGACTGAATACTGAATCATGTCAATTGGCTGGGTGCTTTACCATTTTCAATCAAGTCCCATTCTCGCTATTGTTCATTGCCCATTGTTTCAGGAAGCAACATCCCTGCACTCTGGACATGTCCATTGTTGCTAAAAAGAGAGTCATCGCTAAAAGACAGTCATCGTGCATCCTGCCCCCTCCCCCCCCCCGCTTAGTTTGAATAGGAAAAGAAGAAAAACTTACAAGTAAAAAGAGGGAGAGTGGGGTGGAAGTTGGGGCGGGAAGGTTTTTTATTTTTGGTTTGTTTTAGTAAGAGTATCGTGGCATCTGCAACACAATAAGGTCATATAAATGCTGAAGATTTGCGATGTTAAAAGAGAATGAATGACAAACACGAAAAAGGAAGCAGGATAGATAAGGGCGATAGAGGTTTGATAGGAAAGAAGGAGCAATACCACATCAGAGCTCCAGCCTATAACCCACGATGGGGCGGGAGTGGATAAAAAAATAGACTTATAACTGTTCATGACTTGGGGAAGCTACGGTGAAACATTACACAAAACATCTATGCGCAGATGTCCAATTGCAATTACCGTTGTTGTCCACCGTGTTTGTCTTCTTCATGTATTCCTTCTTCGTCATTCCAATCACTAGCCAAAATTTTCCGCCTTTAAAATGCTAATAAGCTTACTTGTGAATCATAAAGCCGTTTAACTCGTTTATCCCCTCCCCCCTCGCACCCCTCGTACACGGGCGCACGCTGAAAAAAAAGACATATGAGGAGTACAAAAGGTCAATGATAAACGTTCAACACCCCC